CAGGACAGTCACCTGTCGGTGACCGACAGGTCAACGAGACTCCAAACTAGACAGGTCACCTGTCAAACCTAATTACGCCATGTTCAGAGGGTCAAAATCCATGGGTCAATCCAGATGTCCAAAAAGACGTCGATGACATCGGCCAGACTGCAATGAACGAAACCGATGGACGGTGGACGCGGGCCTTCCACCGAGCTGCGGGCTCGGGATCCATCAGATCAACTCACAAGCCCTAACTAGATTCTTGTTACTAGTGGTACGGCCAGGAGCCCCTAATAGCTTCTTGTTACTAGTAGCTTCAAAGACCTACTAGTAGCATCTTGCTAGTACAGGTGAAACGATTCCCAGGGAAGCTTCTAGCTACTAGTAGCTTCTCCAGCAAGTCCCTCTCAAAACGTATGTTTTTCAACCACATGTTCCTTTCCCCACCCCCAAATCCTCAACTCTACGGAGCAACCTGCAAGACTGGCCAATTGGTTCCACACCCTTCAATACCCTCGACTGGACGAGCAATACACCGTCAAACTACAAGTGATAATCTAGAATGTATGATACTGTGTGTAATTAGCCAACATTTACCTCAACAGATCTCAGAGCCAAAGCTACTGGGGCTGGCTCCCAAAACCTGAAAGTCACACATCAAGGAACGAACACGCCCCGCACACGAACTCACGCCACAACTCGCCACCCCAACCTCCCCAACCCCCAACCTCCCGCAGCCTTTTGGGCGGAACCGCTTCGCCGCACCGCACCGGAACAACCACGAGCACGGTGGCAGGTACTTCGCGGATTGGACGGACCCCGAAGACTCCAAGCTGGATCGTTGCGAGGCGAGGAGCGGCTGGAAACGGAGCCGGGAGACGGAGACGGGAGACGGAGGTGGCACCTCAAGAGACGGGAGCGGAGGTGTATCCAGAAAGAAATCACGAATAGATAGAAATAGAGGGGAAATAGGGGCACCAGAGGAGGTATGGAGCCTTGGATGTTGTTGGTTGACTTCGGTGGGCCCTTGTTGTATGAAGGGAAAGGTTCTCAGTGTGCTCAAATGCTAAATAGAACTAGTCTGAGCAAACGACTTCTTTAAGGGACCATGGAGCCATTCTGATCTGGCCACAAGGAGTTCAACCATCAGATCATCTTCTGTGTTCTCGTCAATTAGACACCCTGGTGGCCCTGGCCCGGCCATGGGTCCCAAAAAGACTATCACATGACCAGGTCCACATTGCTTTTCTGGTTGTGTGTGTCCGGCATTTGTAGGCGTGATGTCCGAAGGTGTATGGCAGGTGTATTTTTTTTTTGGCCCCTGGCTGCTGATCACGTCTGGAAGGGATATTTCTCCAGATGACCAGGCACCAAAAACGAACCCCTCATCCACCAAACGCGTCCCTTGATCGATTTTCAGGTCGCCCTGAAGCCTCACAGCATGACCCATGGCACATCCCAGCACTCATCTTCGCACCATTCACACCACCGGTGAAAACCCCCCTCGCCACGCCCAACCGGCGCCCGCTCCACCGGTCTCCCAGGCGCCCATCGACTGGCGCCGTTTGAGCGACCTTTGCTCGCGAGCCGCTCGGGAAGAGTGCAGAGCTCGCGGGACGCTGACCGGTGTACCGGTGGACAGCGGGGCATTCCGGGTCCCCGGCGGTTTTTGGGGGTCGGACCGGCTGTGTTAAGGTTGGAGGTTTGATGGTGGGGAGGTGTTCTTGGGGTTCGAGATGGTTTTTGTAGGTGTTTGTTTTTGTATTGCTGTTGCTGGAATGGTTGCTCTTGCCGTTTCTGCTTTAGTGTTTTTTCATTCAGCTGCTCGTTGATGCTTTGCCCGTGCCTTGCTGAAAATCGTGCGTCCCATCGTTCTCGTTGGAGTGCAAGAAGTCCTATTCGAGTTGCAAAAAGAGAACATCAAACCCTGAAGTGCAGATTGCAACGAGGCTGCCTGGTTTTACATTCTTCATCAGTCCGACCATGGGTACCACAACCTCACCCGCTTAAAAAGAATAACATGAATAACATATTCCTTCCACTGCTGAGGAGAAGCGACGTCAGTTTGTGAGCGAGGAGTGTCGGCGTCGGCATCCCGACTTCTTCTCAGATGGCGGGTGACCGGCGTCGACCGATCCCCCGAAGGGGGATCAGCCAGGAACCGCGGGGGGGGGGAGGAATTGGTGCGGACGGACATGCCCAGCGTGATCGCATCCGACGCACGATTGCATGGCGCAGCGGTACCCGATCCGTCTTATCAGATCCGTCTGCAAAGCTTCAAAGCTCGATGAGCTCGAAGCGAAGGAGGTCCGTTTCGAAGGAAAAGAGATCGTCTTCATGACCCCTGCCGCGTGTCCGGAAAGTAGGCCGCAGATTCGCGAAAGCGCGATGCGGCGAATTCGAGATTGGCGAGAACCCTGCAAGGGGTTTTTGGGACGTTTTTGCGGGGGTGTCGACGGAATCGGAGCTTGTGTCGCACACGAGCCATTGGGCAACCTTCACGCACACAAGCTGATTTTGGAGCTTGAGAATTGCAAGCCTCAAGGGAGAATCTGTCACGCAAGGGGGATACCATCAGGATCCCCTGGAAAATAGGATGCCCATTTCGGAATGTTTCGACTATATCTCATCATATTTCAGATGCTCCGTACTGTTTGTTTGTGCAAAAAGGATACCCCCAAAAACTGCGAGGCTCGCCCCACGGTTGACCCCCCCAAGTCATGTTGGCCTCCAGACTCTCGACACCCTCATGGGAACCACTGGACAGTGGTCAAACCACAGCCAGGCGGGGAGCAGGATGAACCCTTGTTTCCCTTCCTGGATCCCGGTCCTTATAGTTCGCCTGCGGCCACACCGGCTGAACCCCAGGCGGATCGATTTTCACGTTACCGTTCAACGCACGCGGAATGTGGAGTGACTGGCAGAAGGCTGATCCCAGCAAGGACGACGGGTGAGGGGGTTCTTGAGATGTGTAGTGATGGATGATCAGGTGACTTGATGGATTGGTCCATTGGTTTGTTGGTTTCCTCACTGTTTGATTGGTTGCTTGGACACCCTTTGTGAGCGCTTCTGAATTGGTTGGGAATCTGTGGTTGTCAGGCTGTTCAGCAGTGACATGCAGATCAAACCATGGCCCATGGATGACCCCATTTATGGCCCATGCAAAAAAAGAACAGGAATCGACTCTGTTTCAGACACTTGGCCAACTGAGAACCATTTCCAGAATACCCGCCCTTGATTTCATGACACCCTTTGTTTAACGGAACAACCCCTTGCTTGTTTGCGGAGTTTTAGACCACCAAGGAGCCCGTTTTGTTTCAAAATGGATCGAACAGAAGGATTTCAGGTGAATTCCCAACGCCCGGCTGATCGTCGTCGTCCGTCTGCCGACTCGATGTACCTGCGTGCGCATCCACAACGGATTTGCCATGCAAATGCAAGCGGGGTACGAAAGCGCCAGCGCAGGTTCACCGCGGATTTGACGCTGGGATGGTGGGTGTGAAAGGATGTAAGAAGGACTTTTCGGCCATCCAAACTGGGCAGGAATAGATACGTCAAAGACCCTGCAAAAAGGCGGGTTGTGGTGGGGGGTCCTGCGACTTGCTTAACTGAATCTTTCTAGGGGGATCTACAACTCACATCTTGAAAAGTGTAGGTAATCGTGGTGGGCCATGCTCAGACGTAGAACTCAGGATGCGACTTGGTCCAAGTGGTTTGTTCATACCAAACTTGCATGTCATTGTGCATGGTCTCGGGGATACTCAGATGTTTGAAGGACTTTTTTGAGGTGACTCAGTGCTTCAATGACGTGAAAAAAGATCTCGGAAAGTATCACTGGAAGAGTAACTCCGAAGTATTTCACACATTTGCTTTCAGAAACGCCCTTTGGGAGGTCTTATAGACCTCTTGGCTATAGTAGGTTGGAGGCCAACGGGGACCACGAGTGCTGGTGCTCCCGTGGGGCGAAGCTGAACGGTGGTTTCCGGGGATGTCTCCCACGGACTCACCGAAGGTGCAAGAAAGCTGCCAGGAAAACCACCAAGGGGGGAAGCCCAGGGGAAGCCTATCCTGGCAGTCTATCCTGCTTGCCAGGGAAGGTTAGGGGAAGCCCAGAAATGTTTTTAACAAGTTGCTCAAGGAAGCTGGAGGCTCTCCTCTTTCCTCAAAAGGCGCAAAGAATGCCTTTTTGCATTCTTTGGTTGGTGACCAATAGCACCAAACTTGGATTTGATAGGACACTGATGGGCGAGGATGTCTCTACATGGCTTTTTTGCTAGATAACCCTGGTAAGTGCAAAAGTAAAGGAAAGCCCAGCAGTTTGGGGCTGCTGTTGTTTTTTGTTGGGCCATCTCTTGATGCTGTTCCCGAGTCCAAGAAGCTTTTGGTGCTCTTGACCACCATTGACTGGAATGGCTGGGAGAGAGCATACCTGCTCTCACCACCCAACCCCGCAGTCATTCCAGTTCCCCAAGGGCCTCCATGGTCCTCGGATCGTTGGAAGAGCGGCCCAGCAGATGCCTTGGCGGCTTGTGGCTCAAGAGCGGCCCAGCTTGTGTCGCCTCTTCATCTTCACTCGACAGTGCTGTCGTCGACTCAAAGACCCCACTGCGGCTGTCCACGGAACAGGACACCGAGGTCAGAGAGGTCAAAGTGAATTGGTCCAGAAACTGCCAACTTTAGGTTCACTTCCTGACTCATCCACATGAATTCATAACTTCTTCCTTCTTGGGTGTGAACCCGAGTCCCTTAGGTGCCCACCAAAAAGGACCACGAACGGTCTTTGGTTGGTGTCCCGAGCCGTCGGGATCAAAGCTTCGTGTCAAGCGAACCAGTGCAGCAGTGCGAGCGCCAGTTCAAGCCCTCTCCTACCTCTCCTACCTCTCAGGCATTGCCTGAGGAAAAGTTTAGTGACGAACACAGGGACGATCCGCGCAAACCGCGGTGGCCGTGACCTTCCCACACGGTTCCACCGACGGTGGCTACGCGTAACACCGCGTGTGCACCACCGCGACGGCGCCATGGACTTTCGCCTGAAAGGCCCCAAGGGTCAAGCGACCTTGCGGAAAGTGCCGCCCGAGCGACCACTCGAGGAGTTCCTTCAGGAGCTGGGCGCCAGCGACAGCGGGCGGAGAATGGTGTTTGGGGAGCCAGGCAGAGCGGTGAAAGCTGGTTTTGGTTGATGTGTGATGTGTCAGGAAGCAGTTCCCAGCGTTCTTTCGGGTGACCAGGACTCCCAGATTTCTTCCTTCAGATTCGGCGGGGGATTTTGGATTGCCAGTTCTGAGTGACGAGGGGATTGTGAGACCTTGTAGAGTAGCACAAGAAATTCGCGCGCAAAGCCTCAAATGCGTATTGCACGATTTGCCCCCCAAAAGGTATACTAGTAACAGTAACTAGAAGCTTCTTGTTACTAGTAGCGATGGCCTCCAACCTAATTAATAGCCATGGTCTCCACCTAGTAGCTTCTAGCTACTAGTAGTCTTTCTTGCAATACAGAATCCCAGCTTGCTGGGGAGTGTCCCAAAACCATCACCGATCGCCGAGAATGCCGAAATCAGAAACGTTCGAAAGATCACCCCGTTCGGTTCATCCGTGAGACTGGCAGAGCTGGGGATTGACGCCTGGGGTGGAGAGACCCTATGGCGAATTGTCTGGAGAGCGGTGGTTTAAGCGCAGACGTGTCGACAAGATCCGACAAGTCTTTCACCACCTGGCACCGTATCGAGTCTAGTGCACAGCCACTGCACACATTGGTTCAAGTGTGTTTCTTTTGTTCGTTTGTTTGTTGCTTGGTATTTTGTTTTGATGAAAAACAAAGAATAGAGAAACAAAAACTGCAATTTAACAAGCTTGGAGCGAAGCATGTTTTGAAGAATAAATGTACTTTGTTGGCCATTTGTTAACGCAGCAGACCATATTTCGTGGGCGAACCAAGTATAATTGTCACCATTCCTCATGCAGGGCTGCTTCCAACTTTCCAGAAGAGCTTCTCCACAAAAACCATGCGTTTTTCCCAATGACAACTCCCTGTGTGTCAGGGCTATTGGAGCTTGGAGCGGTGAATGTGTTTCTCACATGTCAATCCTCAATGTCTTCCTTCGCAGTTTTAACAGCCCACTTGAGCTGAGCGGATTGTCAAAGAGAAATGGAAGTACCATCCCCAAAAGAAAGAGTTTTATCCGTTTAAGCGTGGTACAATGATTTACCATGAGTTCCAGGTCTACCCCTTATCGCTGCCATCGTATTCATGCTGGTAACATACTTATTGTTTCATCTTGAAGTGCTCAATTTTTTTCTTGAACACCTTTGCATTCAGACCGTTTTCGGCCGCTGCACCGACCACGTGTTCTTTGTGAGGAAGCTCCAACCTAAGAGCAATGGCCTTCAGCATAAGAGCAATGACCTTCAGCCTAAGAGCCATGGCCTTCAGCCTAAGAGCGATGGCCTCCAGCCTAGTACACCAACCTAAGAGCAATGACCTTCAAAGCATTTCTCTCCTGGAAATGGTTCCTTTTGCCCCCTCACATCCACCTTCTGCGTCAGGAGATCTCCGATGCGTCCGGCGTGCCAGTGCCATGCTTGAGTGCGGTGGCTCAAAGGGGACGGGTCGGGTCGGGTTGGACGGGTCGAGGGCCGGGAAACGGAGGACTTGGACTGGCGAGGTCTTCTTTTGGACTTGGTGTGGATGGGAGGGATCAGATCGGAGCTAGGGAATCCATGGCTGCCAGAGCTTTCTTGAAAAAGGGGGGGCGAAGGAGCTAAAGCGAGTTGTCATGAGTTGTCCAACCACTGGCGAATTTTAGGTTTCTACCCAAAGAATCCGAGCCCGAAGCAATACACAGGGGTTTAAGTTTAGAATGCTTTAGAGGGTCCAGACCCCTGCTGGAGGGCCCGTTCGGATTCGGGTCGGGTAGAGTCAAAGCTCCAAACTCAGGGAGTTTGCTGAAAGGTTTGGACTGCTTGGAATCCTGTGGGGAGGAGACCTCAGGAGGTGTGTGAAGGCAGCATTTTAGCATCACACTCATGTGGCCATGCCGGCTTGTTTGAAGCTATGGTGTTGGGCACGGCAGCTGACGACAGCCACGTCGTCCGCATGGGCCGCGTCGCGGCTACGATGCCGTCTCGCTATACTGCTCATGCTCAGGCAGGCTGATGCTCACCCCGCAGCCGGGTGCCAACTCGGGGTGAACTCCTCTTCTTTGGAAAAAGATGATGCTTTTCTGCTTGGTGAATGGTGGAAGCCAAGTCTGCTTGTCACCGCAGCTTGAGAAAAGCCGTTTGCAAAGTGCCGACAAGCCGTTTGCATCCTGAAATCCCAGCCAGAACAGCGTGCAGGCTTGCTTGCTCCGTGTAAGCTTCGCCACGGACCGCGTCTGAAACGGGGATCACTGGTCTCTTGAGCTTTTGGTCACTCTTTGCAGCAGAGCTGCTGTATGTAACACACTGTTATGTAATCACATGAGCTGTAACGTATGTAGTGTAAGTATACTGTTATGTAGCTCACTGTGTATGTAACACAACGTACGTATGTAGTCACATCTTCAAATTCCTTTTGTTCTGCCACCTCTTCGGCGGCCCCACTCTGTGGCAGCGAGCATCGCCCCCCTCCTGCAGATGTGCAGAACATGTCGCCTTCCGCGCCTCCATCATTTGGCCAAGGGTCGACCGTGATCGACGCTGCTTTTGATTCTGTACTTAAAACCTAGTGAGGAAAGCTCGTCCTGTTAGACTTATGTAGACTTATGTTAGACTTTTGATTATGGAAAGCAGTGAGGAAGTTGAATTGAAACCGGGGAGACCCTGGTGATCTTGTACTGTCTTAAATCTTCTGCGCTGCGCAAGCCTTGAAGTTTCCCTGGTCACGTCGTTGTTTTGGGAGGTTTGCCACGAGGTGGTGGTCTTCGGGTCTTGGACTAGATAGCGTGAACTGATGTTTCAGCAAGGTCCCAGGTGCATCGAGATCTCGGCGTAGATGTTTCTTCCAAGTCCTTTGGAGAATCTGTGAGAGATTGGACTCTGCAGTGTGTGACCAACCTCCCAAAAGACCCACAGGAGGTCCATTTGCCCGGCCTCTTCCGTCAGACACAGCCGTGCGTGCTCCGTCTTGAGGCCTCCGGGTGGGTTTTCCGCCCCAGCCGTTGCAGCTGCGCCTGGGCTCAGCGGCAGACACGGCGACGGGGCATGGGGACTGGGCCTCTACGGAGCGCGCGGGCGCGAGGGACCGGGCGTCGCTGGAAGTGGTTGGGGGGGCAGAATTCATGCGCAAATATATAGAAAAAGGAATCATATTGGTGGAGGGTCCGCTTATTTGCCCGGCACCCCGAACCTGCAGGTGGTTTTGGTTCACCCAACCTACACTCATTCCAATCTACACTACTACAGAGCAATAGAAGTTTTTCCAGGTATGAAGCGAGGCCTTCAGTTTCACACGCACGCTCTATACAACATGTTTGGCTTCACTTAACCATATTCCTGAGTCAACCCCATCAACAAGTGTCCAACCATTTGAAGCCTGTTCTTCCTCACAGACATCCTGCATCATGCATCCCCCATGTTCAAAGCCTTTCCAGGTAAATACCACACATGCCATGGTTCGGGCACAAGCCTCTAGGCGTCTTCTGGCCCCTCCCTGCATGTCCCTGGCTTTCCGTGGTCCATCCCATGGCTTCTCCTCCCCCCAAGGCCGGAGGAGAGCGCGCGCGGCGCGGCGACGCTGGCCGCGTTGGGCTTGAAGACCGGAGAGTCCATCGTGGTGCAACACGTGGAGCCGGTCGAGGCGCAGGGCACGGTGCTGAAAAGGAGCGGCGGAATTGGGACGGGGAGGTGGGGAGTGGCCGTGGTCGGCGCGAATGGGGGATGAGGAGATGACAGGGGTGGGGAGAGGTTCGTGAAACGATGCGGTGCGTAAAGGAGCGGGAAAGCTTGCAGAAAAAAGGTGGAGAGTGACCAATCCAGTGGACAAGGTAGGTCATAAGGAGGATTCTCAGGGCACGGCATCAAACACGCCTCAAGAATACGCCATTGAAAGCCGCTCCAACACCCGCTGGAAATCGACGTGGAACAGACTTGACCCATCTAAGCACGTGTCCAAGCGCCCTTGCTTTCAGAGATGACCGGGAACTGGCAGGGAACCTTGCCCCTTTCATCAAGGACCATGTTCCCCCCCGCGTTCCCATTCCATGTGAATGGCGAGTGGCGAGGTTAGGGGTCCATAAACGCCGTGCCATCCACGGCAAAGACGATTCTTCCCTGGAATGTGCAAGACAGCAGGCTGGCCAATGGGAGTGATAGAATGGCATGAACAGCAAGCGGTCAAAATAGGATTCTGGAATGGCCATCGTGACCGCACGCATCTTTGACAAAAAAGAGCTTGGAATATTGCGTTCAGCTCAAGTGCGTGGAGAATCGCTATTTTTGTCCACCCCTCATTTTTTCTTGTTACGATCGTGGCCAGAGTGTTTCGCACTTTGACCGGAGGCATCCATTCTTCCAAGCCATCTGTGCAGAATCACACGCTGCTGTAGCTGGGCGTGTTTCACAAGCACCCACCCGTGATTTGCATGCTACTAGGTCCATGCCCTAAGGCGTATCATCCTCAAAAAAGGCGTATCTTTGGGCTGTGGCCATGCGGAGTAGCATTCCAGCAGTAAACTTTACATACTTTTGTGCCTGCGCTTGCATATATCACCCGTCAGGGCGGTTGTGCCTTGCCTTGCTTTTATTGTAAGGACCTCCAGGTATCTCGATGAAACTGATTAAATAACCCGGAACTCGGCCAGCTTCAATCTTTGCCTCGAGCTTCATGGTTTTCTTAATCAATCCCTCGCAAACCGTTGGCTTGTTCAATAATGCAGGGAAAAGTTGAGAACCTTTTTGTGGGTGCCCTCTTTTGGCACATGTCTATGAGACAGACTATTGTGAGGCACTTTTGTTGTCTTGGTCTTCATGATCGGAGAGGATGCAAGCCGGCCCAGCTGGGCAGATCCATGTGAGACTGATCTCATGATGACAATCTCTGCTGACCAGTGGAACGAACGGAGCTTCGGACGAATCCCTGGGAGCCCCACCACATCCCGTGGAAAATCGGTTCCACCTCTCGCACTGAGCATCGCGGCATAGGTATCAAAAAAAAAGCATCAAAAAAAAAAATAGAAACAGGATCAAAAAAAATAAAAAGCGAATCAAAAACTAAATATTCCTTGATAGGCCTCTTCTGCTGCTCTCCTGGCCTTGTGGTCTGCGGGTCCTCTGGTAATGTGGTCCCTTGGTCCTTTGGTCCCTTGGTCCTCTGGTCCACTGGTCCTTTGGTCCCCTGGTCCCTTGGTCCTTTAGTCCACTGGTCCCCTAGTCCTCCTGTCTCCTGGTCCTCTGGTCCTGTGGTCCGCTGGTCCCCTGGTATCCTAGTCCTTCTGTCTCCTGGTCCGCTGGTCTTTTGCTCTCCTACGGCGCTCGTCTGTCGATCTCCTGGTCCCCTGCTTGCGCAAATAGAGGCTTGATTGCTTTCTACTAGAGGCAGCTCCCTGGGAAGAAAGTAGGTACCCAACGATAAGGGAGCTTTTGGGGAGGTACACTCTCCTTTACTACCCCAACCATCCTCAGTGGGCTAGAATATTTTTTTGTTGATTACCTTTTTATTTTTTTATTGATCCCCGTTGAGTATTTTTTTTTGATTCTATTTTTATTTTTATTTTGATCCCTTACCCTGAGCATCGCCTCCAACAGCTGCTGGGCAGGATCATCGCTGCGGACAACAGCTGCCTGTTCAACGCCTTTGGCTACGTGCAAGAGAAGCTCCGGGACAAGGCGAACGCCGGTCATCGGGTGCGCCGATCATTGGTTTCGGGTAGGTGTTCGTCGATCAAGTTCCAGTATCAAGAGTGATGTTGTTGCAAAGAAGTGCGGGAAAACCGTCCGTTTTTTTAAACCGGGTGGTGTTCTCTTTTTGAAGTTGCCTTTGTTTGTTCAACGCGTTGCAACAAAAAATGATTTGCAACACTCGGGACCCATCATCCGCTTGATCTGCGTGATGGAACGAGACCAGACCGGTGTTCCTTCCCATCCAAGAAATAGACACCGATTTCTCAATGTACAATGAGGAACACACTCCGCGCTTTGTGGAGAACACAAAACCATAAATGAATGTTGTGTTAATGAGCTAGAAAGGATACGTATGGTTTGGGTGTGTCACTTTACACGATGAAACCATAGACCAAAACCACTGGTATGAAGGAACGCAAAGTGTTCAATCCTTGGTTGGGAGTTCCTCAAGTCAAAACACAAACGCCATACATTGTTCCAACTCTCTAAGGCGGAAACTGGAGCCAAAACCCCCCGGGCCAAAGAAAAACAATCGCCCAAACATCATGCCTCTTAGTATCGAACTCAAAAAGAAGACGATGGAATTTAATTAGAATTGTAATTACTAGCTTTTTGTTACTACTAGTAAGGCACCTGTTACTACTAGCGTGGCACTTGTTCCTAGTAGCTTATTGTTTCTAATAGCTTCTTGAATTAAATGAGGCACCGAGTCTTCACCGTCGCACCGATGCATCTTTCTCCACCCTTAAACCCACCACCATCCACCACCGCCCGGGACTCGCCACCGAACACCGCGTGGGCACCGAAAACCTCCACCGGTTACAACCCCACGGAGGCGCCCAGCTATCGTCAGCTGGTGGCCCAGCGGATCAAGGAGGACCCGGAGCGCTTCTCCGAGGCCGGTCGACCGGGCCCCGATCGTTTCGGAGCTGTCGGATAAAGCTTCACACTGAGAGTTCCGTTGGCAGTTCTGAGCTTAGCCTCAAGTCTTAGCTCAGAGTTGGCCAAAAGAACAAGAGCTAAGACTTGAGGCCTTCTCAACACCGCCAACCTGCTCAGTGCGGTCGGGCAGAGTGCTCCTGCCCCGAGCGGAGCAGAGCTGCTCCGGGTTCACCGTAAACGGACCTTGCACGACCTGGTGACAGGTAGATACAGACCCATTCGCCTTCAGTTCGAGGAATGGGCCCTGGTTTTGTGGGAACCCAAACCCTTCATAAAAACCATGGTTCTTTGATGGTCCTTTGGTATAGAGACGATTAAATCCATGTTGGAATCTTGGGGTATATACCCTGGAAAGTAGGTCACGACATTTGAAACACGGGGGGATCTTGGAAGACTGTCACTGATTCGGCGTTGCATCTTTGTTCAGCAGACGGTCGATGTGTGGATGCGTCACCCAGGCCATGGCTGTTCCAACCCACTGACGCGAATCATCACACGATCACAAGCCCTCTGAACGCAAGCGGCGGTTCACTAGTGACTTAGTGGGTAAACTATATTCCGATGGGTTCGAGCATAGCAAGGACTGCGAACAATTTGGGTTCGATAGCAGTGAATCACTTCAGGTTTCACGACAGCCCTGATGCGATGTAAAAAAGGCAGGGATCTCTGCCTAAACTCACCTGATCGTGCCCAAAGAACCTATCGGCTTTGCCCAAGGAACCTCCCTGAAAGGCATCGCTCCACTTGCGTTCGTTAACTGCCCCACACTCGTGGACGGCCATCCCACGCCGTGGCACAGCGTGGCACCGTACGGCGTAGGCCTTCTTGGCCAAGCCCAACGAGGAATATTGCAGTTGGATCTTGAAGGACGGAGTAAACGGAAGGCCACATGAGCAGAAAAAACACAAAAAACGATGGCTCCAACTGACTTCAGTGGCTCCAGTTTTTTCCCTGTGCAGCAGCCGCGAACATGGTGACCGGTGGGTGGGCCATGATCGAGCACATGTTGAAATTGTCGCAAGGGTGGCGACAATGAGCAGAACCAAACATATCAGCTGGGCCGGCGGGTTTTGCATGATAGATCTGCCTCCCACCCATTAAAAACCTACCGTGAACATCAACGGAGGAATGTTTGCACCCAAGACAAATGCGCGCGAGCGTGTTTTCATACCGAACTCCGTGAATTGAACTGCTGCTTACAATCACAGGAAGTGCGGGTTTGCATCCAGAAACGGCCCAAAGATATCTTGCCGAACCTCCTTTCGAAACCTTCATTTGAGGACCCCACCCAAAGAAAAGGGACCCTTCCTTTCAGAACCACTGAAGAGTGCGATCCGATGCAATCCTTTTGGGATTACGTCGGACCCTCCAAACTAGCATAGCGTGCAAGAAGTCCTCCTTTTCCCACTAGCATCGCCGGTTCTTTTTTTCGTCCAATTGCTCGCTCTGGGCCGGCCTGGTGGCTGTCCTCGCAGTGGGCCACCCACTGGGGTTTCGCCACCTTCAGGATCAGAGCTGGGGTGGTGCCATTGAGCTTAGCATCCTGGCGGAGCACTTCCAATGCGAAATCGCTGCCTATGTGCCTTGGACGGTTTTGGGAGGCCCGAAGGATCCCGGTTCTGGATCACTCCGGCGAGCTGGAATCCCGGTCCAAACACAAGCAGAAGTGATTGGGCGGTGCGGGAATCAGCGGTGCCCCAAGTAAGTTACAGCAACGGCTTTCAATGCAAGTGTTCAGGGGAATCACCTGTTCTATATATCCATGTTGAGCTCACTATTTTACTTAAGGTAGGTACTCCCACTTGGTTGCATCATCCAGGTCAACACAGCGACAACGTGTGTGGAACGTGTCTTCAGGACAAGTTCTGCGTTCTGCCCTGCCTCAACGAGAGCAACAGCTACGGCTTCGACCCGTCTCGATGGATCCGATGGCCCGAACGGCCGATGGCAACGAACGGTGCAAGGGTGCAGAACAGGATCGAACTCGCGGTTGCTCCGAAGATCGCACCACGATTCACTTGCCGCGATTGCCGCAGCTTTGAGGCTGCCGTGCGAGTCTCGAAGCTTCGGTCTTTGATCGTGAAGACGCAATGAAGACGCAATGAGCTGCAAAAAGGCCAAGCTGCGACACTTTGTGTGGATGATGTGACTGGCGTGCTTCCTGCAAAAGCGAAGGCGCTCCAGAAAGGGAGCTGTAAAGAGAAGTCCATCCAAAGTGGACGATACAGTGTCGCCTGAAGATTGGTGATGCGAGTGATGGCACGTTGGGAACGTGGTGTATCGACACTCAAAATGTTTCAATATCCCAGGACACTCAAAATGTTTCAATATCCCAGTTGCCAAGTCAGCATGGGAGGATTTGTTTTGTGCCCGACTTTTCAATTTTCTGCATCACTCTCCATACCCTAGGCCCCGCTTTGTCACCCTCTTCTGGGAATTGTCGCCCGCTAGTCAATCTGGATGTTTGAGAGGGACCCAGGTTTGATCAGAAGAAAAATCCAATTGACAGATCGGACAGTGCCTTCCAATCACCTTTTGGAGCTGGTGTCCGTTACACTTGAGCAGCAGGTTGATCTTGGGAACATCTATACCCTTATATTGGGCGTGTACTTTATTTTTGCCCAGCGGTCTAGGCTTCTATCTTTTTCCCTTCACCAACCTAGGGGTGTCGTTGCGTGGGAGATCTCCCTTTTTTTCAGAATGCACATCCGTTAACCTAGCCTTCTAAGCCCATGGAGGAAAGTGGTTGAGCTGGTTTTGTAGTCTACAATCCTTAGTGAAACAAACGCGTTGCGCGTGGCTGAAAGAATCGATCCAAAAAAAATCCCATCACCTGAGCCCTGCGGAGGGGTGGGTAGTGACAGGTGGTCTCACATAAACAGATCCAGGCAGCTCGACGGCTCGCACCACACCGGAGAGAGAGAGAGGGAAAACGAGTGGTTTCACGGTTTCGTTGTGGGCCTCACGTCGCTAGGGCCCGGCCGCTTCGTCCCGTTCCCGTCTTTGGGTGACGCAACGAAGACGTCTCCGAAAGAAGAAGGTCCGTCTTCGATGGGCGAAGAAGGGCGAAGACGGTCCCTCCAAAGGATTCCGAAGAATCGGTCTCAAGCCGCGCTCACCCGTGTTCTCCTTGGCTTTCGGGGTGTCTTTGGAAACCTGGCTCGTTGGAAGCCAAGCCCCTGTCGTAGGTTGACCGAAAAGAAGAATTGGTTCACCTGGGCCGTCCAAGGTGCCTAGCAACCCACACATGATAGGTCGCTCAAGCCCAGAGCAGCAAAGCTCCTTTACGACTGCAGCGAAGTACTCCACATACGACTTCCCCCTGGTCCTTGCATGACTCAATTAATAGAATGAAATCCTTTTTTGGTATAAATCATGAATAAGATTCTTTGTTTTGTTTCCATCATTCTTCCGAAAGATGATGTGTCTTTTTCTTTTCCTCTTTGTTACTTTATTGCACTGGTCCTTCCGTTCAGGACATTTGCACCAAGCGACGGGACCTGCACGGCGAGGGGCAAGGCTACCGCACACGGTGCATGTTGATCTACGCCGCTTGGGAGTGGTGACTGTGTGGGGACATGGTGAGACCGCGGGGAAAGCCTAGGAGATGGACTGACCAACCCTTTCGTCCTCTTCGTTTTATTTGTTTCTAATGGCGATTCCAACCTATACTATAGCAATAGCCTCCAACCGACTAAGCAACCTCCCGTCCGCACCCGGAAGCACTCCGGGAGCCCGTCATGGGAGCCGGCACGTCCTTTTCGCCACCGAAGAAGCACATTTTGTGGTGCGGGAGGCAGAGACCATTTTAAGGAGTCAGTCTGTAGAACAAAAGAATGTGCCACATGAAGAGAGAGCTTCCTCCAGACCACATGGTTGCCTGATGGCGCGCACACACGGTTCCCAGAGTGGTTCAGATGTTTTCTCCAATTCAACAAGTGCAGGGTAGTTCCATGTAGTTCCTAGTATAGCCCCATAGAATCACTGGGATCCTGCATGAACCACCTTGGTGAGGCAAATTAGGGCTCCAGGGCTTTGGCGTTCATGTTCCATGTCTGACTACCGTTTCCTTCCATGTCTACCATCCCGAAGCCAATCGACCCGAAGCCGCCGCCGAGATGTCCGTATCAAGTTTTGGGGCAGGCATGGGGGAATTTCACAAGCCAACCAAGCCGGTGTCCGAACCGGTTTCCGAAACCCCAATCTAATCCGATCTCAGAACTGGGAGAATAGAAAAGAGTGTCTGAGATTGTTTCATGGCTGCCGACATCCTCATTTCAATGCCCTGGATGGCAACTAATCAAGTGTTTATCCACTATCCCACGATCTGCCACTTTTTACTTGACTATCAAGACCACTTCTCCCTCACCTCGCCCAAAAAGTAATTCCAAAAATAGTATACCACTTGCCGCACTTCAACCGCCTTAGCAAAAAGAAAGCGGGTTTAGGCTTTCGAACGGTTTTCGGAGTCCTTCGCTTTCCTCGTCTCCCTCCCTCGTCTCCCACCGCTCCGAGGATGGAATTCACTACGACGCCTTGGCCTTGGCGAAAGACCCCCAGGCGCCCGAGGCCGAGGACGTGACCGTCTTCCCCGCCGGTGCGGACACCTCAGCGAACTCGCCTGGGCCGCGGGACCAAAGACAGCGAAGACGAAGACGAATATTGGGTGGGGAGGATGGGGGTGGTTTCTTCACGTTTTCGGGTTGTTTTTTGTTTGGTTTTCGGTTTCAGCCTGGTTTCAGCTTGTTCATTCCAGACCAGGTGCCGATCATCCTGAATCCTGCACGAACCCAAATGAAGCAAATCGTCAGGACGTCAACAAACCGAGCTTTGGCAGTTCATGCTTTGTTTAAGGGGAAAAGATAGGTTTTGGAAAGATTCGGAACCCAAAAAGCATGAACTTGGAAAGGAATCAATTCCAGACACATCCCAAAACTGGATGGATGGTGTTGGGTGTTGTTCTCTTTTCGATCAAAGAAGGGTGCCTCACTTTCAAGTCATTTGCGGCAGGACGCATCCTGTCCCGCGGTGTTGTTGCGTGGCCCTTCACCCACATGGTTTGTTCTTTCTTGTCGGTCCTCGAAACCAAGAGGCACCGGCCGAGATGGTTTTGTATCGGCCGAGGAAAGGGTGGCGTAGCTCTAAATGCACCGACCCTGTTCGGCCCAACCTTTTGCAAAAGAGGGTTTCACAAGCCACCGTCTTTTGTGGCAGACTCTGTGTGACTTGCTCAGCTGCTTCTCAACAAAGAGTGTATGATTTTCCGGTTTAGGAAGATTCACACTTCACACCCCACCAGCTTTCGGTGAGGCAAGATGCCCCAAGGACCCCCAGGGCACTTTGCCAGGTCTGTTTCTTCGACCTCCACGGCGGCGGCAGTTGAACCGGACCAAAACCACGGCGAGCTCAGGTGGCGTGGCCGAGGTGGTGGACCTGAAAGCCCGTGCGTTGGTGGAGGAACAGCACCAGCAACGGCAGCACCTCGACCCCGCAGTCCTCGTCCGTTGCGGGCCGAGTTCCAGCGGGTTCCGCGGGTTCCGCGGGAAGGGCGGGAAGGGCGTGGGTGGAAGCGCCAATGGTGCACGATTCGTTTGGGGGGTGGGGCAGGTTTTGCCACCAGGATCAGCACAGAGTAGTGGAGATGGAAAGGAAGGACATGTCAAGTTATGAAAAGCCATGCACAATTCTACCTTCCGGCTGTACCGACAGGCAACCACCAAAGGACGCACTGCCCAGAACTGCCTTTGCCGCTGGCACTTGGCAACTCATGTCCGCTACAGCAAAACCAAGTTGAGACGCCACAGACATGGAGTCATTGCTCCAACTTGACAATGCCCCTGGGAGCTGGCGAACGAACAAACCAAGATGGTCAAACCCAAATCATTCTCGCCTTCGGGGGCCAAAGAAACATAAAGAAACCCTTCCTGGGAATGTTTGGCTGCTTGGCGTGCTTTATATAAAAATTTTGGAACCTACAGTGCGTTTGGTTGTAGCAACTACCTCTGAAGTTGTCCGCCTCACATATTTAAAAAGGGCGTTGGGGAGCAGTCCTGGGTATTTGGATCTCCTCACATACTCTTGTCTTTCAACAGTCCAACAGATGGGGGTGACACCTCGATCGGAAGATGGACACCAGCTTCGCCGGCAGCTTCGCCGTGCTTTGGGAGATCGGTCATTCTACAAGGCTGTTCTTGTTTGTGGCTGCCAAATGGGACCGATGCGACTCTGCTTTGCTTTTCCCCCTTCCGTTCGGAGATCATCCGAAGCGTTCGGATGCTTTGTGGCTGCCGAATGCCCATGCACAAAGAGCTGCGTTGTGCGTTTTTCTTGAGCGTCCGGAAAGTGTCATTCCCAGAGCAGGCAAGGTGTGTTTAGCAAGACCATCGCAAAAAGACCACGCCAAACCCCATCATCCTCCATGCATGAAGCCTGGTGCATGTCAAAGCAACTTCATGCCAAATTGCAACAATTTTGTCACTGAAACCATTAATTGAAGACGAGAACTGCTTTCAAGTGAGAAACGCACGAATTCCCACTGGACCATCAGAGTTGGTGTGAGCCAAAAGATACCTCAGCCGCACAGAACTGTTCTTTTCGGTTGGTTCGAAGGATTCTGGACCGCTGTCCTACGCACTCTTGCTGGGACGACCTATAGGACCTTTCGTTGCCATCTCACCACCCGTAGCACGACCTGCGAGGTTCACCGACACCGGGAGCTTCTCGCTGCGGTGCATCGACTGTCAGAAGGGCTTGAAGGGCGAGAAGGAGACCGAGCGACGGACGTAGGTGGGGCCACTCTGTCTTTGGCTCGGTGTGTCAATGAGTCACAAGATGTTCACGGAGAAGAAGTTGGTTCAAATCCAATGGTTTTCAAGCACCAGACCGATCGAATTCCCTACCTTTTCTGGACTGGGTAACTTAATTTGTGGGTTCGATCATCAAAAGCATCACAGAGTTGGTGAATGTGTCAAATCTTATGAAGCCCCGTACTCTTCAGCTGCTTTTGCTTATCTATCCAGTCGTTCGCTGAAGAGAATACCTCTCCACTCAGTGTTTTTGGAGTTCCGCGGGACGTGTTTGGGATCGACATGAGCTGACGAAGCAGCGGATTCGAACACGACAGAGTGTGGAGAAGCCTCTATAGTGAGAACATAATCCTGACTTTAGATAATCCAACAGAAGGAGTCTTGGATCCAGTTGACTTTGATTGTCTTCCTCCGTGGAGGTCTGTGACCGCTATAGCTACCGGTTGAGTTCGGGATTGCTGTCACAACAATGAAAAAATCAAAGGCATCAACTGGTGAGCCACTCCTCCGACTTCGCGACGAATGTCGCAAGGTGAGTCGGACAAAGAAGTTGAACTCCCAAACGTTGCTAAGTGAGAGCAATCCAAAAGCTGGACAAGTTGATGACTAAGCTGGGCAAGTCGAAAGAGCATGACCCCGCTGAAAACAAGAACCAACACCAAGAGCATGACCGAAATCTGCCGGGATGACCCCGGTGCAGTGGAACAGATTCCTGTTCCAAGCGCTTGGAATCAAACGGCGTAGCTCCTCGGGACTCACGGCGTAGCTTTTGTTTACCACTCAATCGGAGGAACATCGAAGAGACTTCCGCCTCTTCAGCCAGCGGTGAGACTGCGGTGCCACACCAGTCTCTTCATTGCCCGCCAAAGGGGTGGTTTCTTAGTTTTTGCACTGGATGCTACTTGGTGGATTCCCACACCAAGAGGAGCAGCGACTCGACAGTCTCCAACAGGCTCCAACAGCGACCAGTGCATTACGGATGGAAATTCCATATGATACATGACATGCATCAATGGGAGATGAACATGGAATGTCACCCTCCCCAAGCCTCATGAGTTGCCAGGCTCAATTTCAGGGGTGCAATTTAGGTTGGAAAGAGGTCTTTGGTCCATTTGGGTCCCTGTTTGTCCCTCAACGATACCACTATAAACTGATTCACCCTCTTGCCGCTCTTCCCACCTGTTTCACCTCAGGAGGCTGAAGCTCATGCACAAGCCACAGGTCACACCCGCTTCGCGGAGTTCTAGGCGCCCAGCGAGGCAGCGCCGGCAGCGACGAGTTCGTGGGAGCGAGGAGTTGGTCCCGGAGCGAGGAGTGTGGCAAAGAACCTTTGTGGATGTGATTTTTGGTAGAAAGATCAATGGCCCCCAGACTGAGGTGGACACACTGGAATTCATTGAGAACCCCCAACAGGAAACTGTTTGGAGATTGATTCAGTCCTGGACCCACTGGGTATGATCACCAGCTTGGTGAAGTCAGGAACACCCACTACAAAGCCAGTGAAGTCCGGAGATGCATCCGAGGGTCCGTTGCGCAGCTTTTTCCCAAAAGCATCTCCGATGCTTGGGTTCTCGTTTAGTCGCTAGTGCCGGGGGAGAGCGAGGAAAAGCTTACGTTGTCGGAAACGGAAGATGGAGGTGGAGGTGGACGGGGCTGGGAAGGGAAGAGGGAAGGGAAGGAAGGGAGGGGAAGGAAGGGAGGGGGGAAGGAAGGGAGGGGAAGGAAGGGAGGGGAAGGAAGGGAGGGGAGCGAGACGGGAGGTGCAGAGGGAACAGATGGAGGGGAGCGAGACGGGAGGGGCATGGGTGGGGACGAGAAGATGGAGGCGAGCGAGACAAAAGGCGCATGGATGGGGACGGGGCTGGAGAGGGAAGATGGAGGGGAGCGAGACGGGAGGCG